TGGCCCTCGCCGCCACCCACTTGCTGTTTGCGTTTCCGTTGCATTTTCCTAGAAACACCTCGAGTGTGGAAAATTAAAATCCAACTCCCCCCCCCCTCTTTCGTTTCCCTAAAAAAAAACAGTACCAGACGATGTCAGGGTTGACATGAGCTGGAAGGTAACACAATACTCCAGCCAGCAACTACTTAAAATGCAATTATATGCATTATTATTCGGCTGCTGGAGCTGCTTCTGCTGCTGCTGGGCGAGTATTTTTATTTTTATCCACGAATACGCAGAATGTGCCGATGTTTAGGGGGGAAGGGGGGATACTAGAAGAAGAAGAAGCATTTGTGGAGAAAAAAAATGGATGACGACGACGAGGAGTATTTAAATGCCCACCTCAGCTACTAATTATTACCAGGAAAAACTCTTGAAATTGACGTTTCATTTTGTGCGGCGGGGCACACATCAACACCCCGACAAAAGGGGTTAAGAAGGGGGGCAAGGGGGAGGGGCCAACTCTCTACAGACCGCCTGTTTTCACTCAAGAAGAAAGAGCACCCAGACCAGACCTGGCCCGATCCCGATCGTCGTGATTATGCACATCGAACTGCAGAGAACAGATTAAGGCACTCGAGAAATTATGAAAAAATAATATTTTTCTTGGAACTGATACCATTTTAAACGAATTGGTACTCAACGGCAGAGTCAACAAAATGAAGAAGTTCCTACACGATTATGGGAAAAGAGTCGAGGAGAATGCCTCGCAAAGACTGGCCAAGGCTGGCTGGAGAGGTGGCTGAACGAAGAATGTGCAGCGAAGAAACGAGAGCTGAGGTAGGTAATCAGAGGTGCTGAGATCGCTTTTTTTTAGCTATATATATATAGAGAAAGTGTCTCAGAAATATTGGAAATATCAGCTAAAAGGGAAGAAAAGTTTGAAATTTTAAACCGCTTAAAACTTCGCTTGAAAGTAGGCAACGAATCTTGAGCTGCGATTTTTGGCTTTACAAAAATCTACAAAAAATCTCAAAAAATCTCCAAACTAATTTAGCTACTTTTTGATGATCTTCAGCCAGAACTGGCGGGTAACTCAATCGCCGGCAAGGCAGACGAAGTTGCGTCAAGTGGCAGCATCGGCCAGTCGACCTGTCTGCCACAAGTCTGCCGAGTTGCCTGTTTTTTTTTTCGGGTTCCCAGGCTAGAATGCCGGTGATCTTGTGTTTGTATATGTATGTATGTATGTGTGTGTGTGTGTGTGTGTGCGTGCCAATCGGAGGACTGTGGCTACTCCACAATGACTCCACAGTCCATGATTTGGTACCCAACTCGCATCCATTTCCATTCGGCGGCCGCCCCTCTCTATCCAGACATTACTCACTTGGAAGCGTCGCTCGACACTTCACAAAATTAGTTTCGTAGAACTTTCAATGCGGCCAACACTGAGCGGAGTTTTTGAGACAACACTGAGAGAAATAGTAAGTGATTTTCATGGAATTAAGTATTTGCTAGAAGACTAGTTAGAGGTTTTTCTTCTAAGAACAGAAGAAGTTTGGCTTGAAATCCCAAAGCCACTTTAGTTAATCTTCAAGGAAAACCCCAAAAATTTCCTCTCGAATCCCAATACATAGCCCTGCATAGCCTTGCATATACACGCCCCAATAAGGCGGAAGGTGGGAACCCATCGAGGGCTTTCAGAGCCAACTCAAAAAGCGAATGAATAATTCTGCCTCGAAATTTGTGCGGGGTTGGAAATTTATTCACACAGAAACGTGTAATTACCCAGACACAAAACACACACAGCAGCAGCATCAGCACACACATACACTCTCATTTACACACACACATCTCACACACTCTCAGAAAAAGTTCACTTGAAGTTCGTCTCTTTTTGCTTCAAGCGAAAAGTTGGGGAAAAGTTCGGGTGGGGGAGGTGGGTGTGAGGTTCAAAACGTGGGCGGTGAAATGCGGGTGGGCGTGGCAGCCGGTGCTGCTGCTGCTACTGGCATGGAAAATTAACAATTTTTCAATTAAAATCAATACGGAGTGTGTACTTGTAGTCGTAGTTTCCTTTTTTAGCCAGGCACAGAGGGTTAAGGTGGCAGGCTTGGCGGGCTTGTTGGGCTCTGGCGGGGTTAAGAGGGCAAAAGTGGGTGTGGTTCGGCTGTCAGGGTAATCTGCATATGGGCATGTGTGTGTGTGTGTACACTTCATGAAAATAGCTTAAGTGCCTGAAAATATGCAACGCATTCGACGAGCCAACTTTGGTTCTATATGAACTGAGTGTGAGTGTTTGTGTGTGTGTGTGTGGTGTGTGCAGGACAGTATAGATGTATAAGTGTGCGTGTTGATGTTTGTTTATGTATGAGTTGCCTGGTGTGGTGTGTGTTGTTAGTTTTTGGGGCGCCGCTGCTGCTGTCATCCCGGAAAAGTAAAATTCTAAACCTTTTCGGCTCAAATAGTGCTGTTATTTTCAATGACACTGTCTGCCTGTGTGTGTGTGTTAGTAAGCACTGAAAGAAATTAGTATAAAGAAGTCAAGAAAGTAAAGTAACACCCTTGAGGTTATCGTTCTGCATATCAGATTTGAAGTTTTCAAGGAGAATGTCTACAAATTTGAGATATTTTTAGCTTTTAAGAGGTTCTAAGAAGGTTTTTCAAAAGGGTTAACTACCGCGAAAGTCCATAATTTTCATCTTAAATGACTAATAACTAATGACAATTTTCTCCCAGTGCCCCCCTTTCCGCCTCTAAAGGCTGGCTCTTCCTATCGTTCTTGTACTTGTGCATCGTTTTGCGGTTGTTTCGGTCTTCCCCAGTATTTTTTGGCCATCTAACTGTTGAGTCCTTGCCCCACACACACACACACACACATACACACACTGACTAACACACTCACTGATAGATATAGAAAGAGCTAGAGAAGCGAGAAGGGGAGACAGGGAGACAGGGAGACAGACAGGGACAGGCAAGGATAGACTCCATTTGTGGGTACCGCAAACAACGTTAAATGCAAATTTACGCTCCTGCCACGCCCACTAACTGATGTATAACTAACGTAGCGCCCACTTTTCGAGAACCCCCCTCACCACCCCAACACCCTGACCCCAAATAGCACCCCTTCTCTTTGGCTTTCCCTCCCACTTTCCTCCCAACTGTGCACACACAAAATGGCCGTGCTTTGGCGCCATTGCTTCACTTCAGTTGTCCTTCGGTCCTGGCTCCTTGTTGTTCTTGTTGACTATTGCCGTTATTGCCAGGCTAGAGGGAAAGAGAGAGAGGACAGGCCAGAGACGGAGACGGAGACAGAAAACCCCAGCAAGGGGAAGAGGGGGGAGAAACTCCAGTGGCCAGAATTGAAGTGTTAGTAGTAATGCTACTAATTGGACTCGCTTTTAGCAAGCAATCTCGATCCCGAGAACCCAATCCCGAAGCCAAAGCTCCTTCAAAGTGCTCTACATATATATATATATATATATTCGTATATATCTTTGTATATATATAAAGACAGATGTGTGTGTAAGGGAGTGTGGGTGGTGTCCTTCTCCAAAGTCTGTAATTGGAAAATTTTACACACTCGAAAATCAATTTGAATTGCAGAAAGCAGAAAGCCAGTTGAGAAGTAAGTGGATGTGCGAGTGCTGACGGCCCAAGGGCGTCAGTGGGTTAATTGCAGGCCTGCGATACGTTTTAATTAGCAGCGATCATAGGGAATATATTCCCTATATACGATGAGGATTACGAGGTATTTGGGTTTAAGGTATCAAATCAGAGATCAGTTAAGGCCTCCCCAAGATGACTTTTGCCAAGCTACAGTCTTTACCATTTAAAGGGTAATCTGTAGTACAGAAATCCATAACTTTCCACCAACTTTTCAATATATTTTTGCACTTCTCAGACCTGTCATCATCAGTTTTTCGCGTCTAAGCCATATCTGAGAGCCCGGAACTCTGAAGAGGCTGCCCCATTAGCATTCCAGCCAGGAGAGCAGCCTCGAATCCGGCGGCAGAAAACCGATTTGCAACCCAACCGCTCGACGGCTACGAACTTATGGCAAGTGAGTGGTTAAAAAAGGGCAAATTCGCCAAGAAATCGCGCCATAATTACACTTTTTTGTGTGCTAATTAAACACACACACACACACACAGAGAGAGAGAGTCCTTTTGGGGTTTGCCTTTTAAGGGTGGCAATTTGGCTCACTCGATGCTCACACACACACACAGCCATACCCATACCCATACCCATACCCATACATACAGACAACCCATCTCGCTCGCTCTGGCAACGTCGACGGGGACTTAGAACAATAACGGCCATTAAAATGCTTAATTATAAATTCGCAAACGTTGCTGAAATTTTCTACGTTTTTTCCCCCGCTCTCCTGGCTAGCAAGCCATCTCCCTCTCACACCCCATGCGCCGTCTCGCTTGCCCAGGCAGCGTGAATCGGACGTTAAATGATTTCCGGACTTTGCGTTGTTCGCAGTTCTCGGCTCACTTTTACCTATGTGCCTATATAGAAGAATGTCCTTTCAAATTCAATTAAGGACATTATCGAAAATGATTTTGTATGGAAAAGATATAGAAAAGATCAGGTTTTTAGAGGGATAAAGACACTGAAAAGGGGGCAACTACAGAGAGAGAGAGAGAGAGAGAACTTAAGTCAGAGGAGCTGCACTTGAGAGTCCCCTTCCGAAGGGCTGGCCATAAACTGGCTGCACACACTCACTGATAAATCTGAAGGAGGTGTGAAAAATCAGGCCGGAGACATCCAAACAAGCACATGAGAACAAGGAGCGACAAAGGACCTACGTCGGTTCGAAGGAAATGCAAATTCCTTGGCCGCGTTTTTGTTTTGCCAACAGCAAACACCTACTCGGCGGATGTAATTAGTTCGTTAATTCATTAAGGGAACGGAGGGGAGATAAGCAGCATGAGTAGGACCAGAAGGAGGAAACAGGTCTACCCAAAAAGACAATGCCATCATATCAGATTACCTATGGAGCTGTGCTGACTCACCTGTATGCGATCCTCGGGTAGCTCTGTCTTTAGGGACAGCATTTCGCGGGCATAGACATCAGGATAATGGGCTTCCTTGAAGGCCTCCTCCAGCTTCTCCAGTTGATAGCTGGTAAAGATGGTACGGCTGTGCCGTCGCTTCTTTTTCTTCTTCTTGCTGTTCGGTCCAACGCCAAAACCATGCAGTCCCTCCATGCCAAAGTCCTTGGGCGCCAGAGAACCTGCATAGGATTTGATAGATAATAATCGCATTGATTAGTAAGTTAGTACATCGAACAATGACTTTAGGCAACTATTCTGCCTCCGCCGCCTTTGTGCTAAAAATATTCCTGTCAAATTAGTTGACGAGAATCCCACGGCCCGCTACCGCCGCCGGAAAACACATGGCGCTGGAACGGCGCGGGATTCGAAGCGGTTTTTGGTGGTTTGTTATTTTAATATTTAATAATTGTATCTAGTTTCCCACTTGTCTGCCGCTTATCGCGCGCACACATCATCGTCTTTTGTTCCAAGGAAAACCCCACTTGAGAAAGGCTGTGAAAGGCTGCGGCGGGGAAAAGTGAAAGCGTCGTGGAAAGAGGATGGCACTCGGAGTCCCCAGACTCGGGATCGAAGGAAGGAGCTGACAGGCGTTGACAGGCGCGATTTGAGATTTCGATGAGTGGCATTGGAGTTGGAGTGCAGTGGAAGAAATGGGCAATGAATGGATTTAATTTAATATTTAATTACAGAATTTCTTGCTTTACTTAAGCACCCTTGATTTCTCTCTGTGTAAGCCCAAAGTTGAGTGGCCTGAAGATGAGCTGAGGATGCTGAGGAGGCTGATGAGTCTGTGGATTGGAGATGAGTCCAAGTCGTCGTAGGATCGAAGCAAAACTTGGCGGATTGACTGAGCAGAGAGGAGGACTTCTCAGCCTCAGTTTTTGGCCAAATCGAACTTGGAGCCCCTGAAGCACCCGGAAAACATAAATGCACAGTTCGGTGATCGAGTGGTCTGCGGACGGCCACTCTGCAGTTTCGAAAGTATGGAAAAGTTGGGAAAACAAAACACAAACACAGACACACACAGAGCCAGAGCCAGAGAGGAGCATATTCGTGCAGCCAGAAAAAACATTTCGCACTGAAATTCGATATGAAAAATGAAGTAGAAGCAGCCTGTTTGTGCCTGACGAGAGCCGTTCAAGTGAAGCCTCGACGGCATCCCTCCCTCCATCTCCTCCACCAGTCCACCCGTTTTTCCCACTAAATGTGCGTGAAAAACATATCTCCGGAGCTGCTAGTGAAAATGCGTGTAATGAAGGCTGAAAATTGCATCTTGAATTACCGCCACCAGTACGGAATGCAGTTCCCTGGCCGAATTCAAGGTATGTTTCTGAGGGGAAATTTAATTGTTCGGATTTTGGTTTTTCCTTTTCCAGAACAAGGAAGGGCCCTTCGCAATTATTATCGAGTATAAATTTCACCGGTCAGTATCTGATTGATCCCTGGCACCTGTTATTAATACTTTCAAATATCTATTTTGTGCTCAATTAAATTATTTCCCTAAAAATGTATTTTTGAAAATACACATTTTTGGGGAACGCACAAAACTAGGCAACACCAAATTTCTTTCTAGCTTTTAATGAGCTCATACACACACACACTGGCAGCTCGACTGAATGCCAACATGCATACTAACACACACTCACACACACACACACACATGCATCACAACATATTAGCAATTAAAATTTTCTTAGTTAATTACTTTAAGCAGACGACGACGAAGGACGACGAAGGACGAAAGGATGTCGGCGACGTCAGCTGGTGGAAAATGCCATAGCAAAAAATGTCGCCACCCAAATGAAAGGCGACAGCATTCTTCCGTCTCTATCGCTCCAACTAGTGCCCTCTCGTTCGCTCCTTCTTCTGCTGCCGCACAAAGAAAGTCGCCTCCTCTCGCTCGCTCTTCGTCCTTTTTCTCCTGGCAAGTGAATTTTATGAAATTTATGCGCATTTCACTAGAAAATTTAATTAGGAAATCTAATTTGCTCAAAAGCGCATAAAAAATGTTGTCGCTTCCCGAAGAGGGGAAAGAGGTTTTCGGTCCTTCCCACAAACACCACCGAATTTTCACAGCACTCCGCCTCCAAAATCCCTGTCCCCCGCTGCCTTTCTCCATAGCCCTCCTACTCTGATTTGTTCATTTTGTAAGCTGCATTATTTTTGTAAGCCAGCCAAAGTTACAGAGAGAGAAATAAGGCTGGCTTGGTTTGCTTTCAAGAGCTTCATGTTTTTACTAATTAAGAACTAAAAAACTGACCAAAATTCTGATTTCTGGCCGAAAATAACTATTTTTTTGACTATAGCAAAGCGAAAACTTCTCTGATTGTGGAATGTACATAACCAAACTCGTACATCGCTGCACGTACATCGCCGAACTCCTAGTTAAAACTCCAATCGAACTGTATTCAAGCCTTAAAAAGTCAATTTTTGGCATTTTTTTGCTAAAATTGATGATGTTACCCCCTATCGAAGGTGAAAAATCTTCTTTATCCGATTTTCCCCTCCTATAACTCAGCCAATAATGGTCCGAATATGGAATGTCATATCTCGTTGAGCTCGTAATTAAAATTCTAACAAAACTGCATTCACACATTGAAATGTGCAAATTATGACAATTTTTGGAAATTTTAATGATGTTACCCCTTATCGAAAATTGAAAATCCGATTTATCGCTTTTTCCCCTCAAAATGGCATTATTTATTCTCATTTCTCAGATAATAATTGTCCGATTATGGAATGCAATATCTCGATGAACTCGTAATTAAAATTATAACAAAACTGCATTCACAGTTTGAAAAGTAAAAATTTGAGAAAAATTCGGAAATTTTGATGATTTTACAAAAAATTCAAAAAAATTCTCAAAAATTAAAATTCACAAAATCATTAAAGGAATGATAAGGAAAGTTAGTTTTGATCGTTAGCTTCACAAAGCAGTCGTTCTTTTAGCTGCGCGTCTTGTTTTGGCTAAATTATAGATAAAAAACCGATAAAAAATGTGAAAAAATCTAAAGAAAATATTGGAGTTTTCCGTAAAAGGTCGTAATCCTGGTTCTTTGTCTAAGTACATATACTTTCCTGCCCTGTAAATTAATAATACTCGCGTATTAAGGCCTTTAAAAGTCACATAGTAACCCCATAGGTTTCTATGCTTCCTTCTTATAATTCAATTGGTTTAAACTTAAATTGATATATTCTTAAAACTCTTCTAGGAAAGTGCCCGAAAATATTTGCCGTGCAAGTGTTTTCCTCCTAGCCCCGCTGCTCCTGCTTTTTCAGCCCAATTTCCGCTCCCGTTCCCCACTTTCCCCACCCGCTTTCCCCCATTTCCTCGCCATGCATCAAGTAACCAACAAAATGACTAATTCCTCGTCTCTGTGTTGGTGTGCAGTGGCTGCCTGTATGTGTGTGCATGGGAGTGCGTGTGTGTGTGCTAGTGTGTGTGTCGCATAAACAGTTGCATGGCAAAATACGCTAATAAAGTGGCTGAGTTGTTGGCAACGCGGCAGCGACGCAGCTGCTCTGCCAGCGCCGACAGTGGCAGAGACGACGACGTCATCGTTGAAGGGGCATTCGCAATTCGCAATTTGCATTAGCAACCAAAGTGGCTGCGTTTTTGTGCATGTGTGTGTGTGAATGTGAATGAGTATGGGTGTGAGTGGTGGCGACACTAGTGTGGGTGTCCTGTGAACTGCCATTCGGATTTTCACTTATTTTCGTACGCTTTTTTCGTACTAATTAGAAATGAAATTGAATTATTTGCTTGAGGAATCAAACAGAAGCCACAAATGCAAAAAATCAGAAAGGGGCTACGGTAAATGCTCCAATTAACAGCTTTTGCTAACTTGCTTTTTGATGCCAGAAGGTTAATTTCAATAGGCAAAAAGGGAAAAGTTACTTGAAATGAGGAAAGGTGGAGGAGGGCCACTCACTCATGTATCTAATTTCGGAAATTCAATAATTGAGTTGATTTTGCAGGAGAAAGCCAAAGGAAATCTAACAAAAGTAAATTAAGTTAACTAAACGTAAGGTAAATAGAGATATTATCTATAATTTGATATCATTGCCTTTGATTAAATTGATGAGAGATTTCCCTTTAGTTTCAGTTTATACCTTCAAGAATATCCTTTTACCAAAAGGCCTAACAACCCATCTTCCAGTTCCATTGCAATTATTTACTAAAATAATAATAGCAATATATGATTTGCCATGATTTGCTGTCTCTTTCTCTTCAACTGTTTCTATCTCTTTCGCTTCTGTAGTATTTCCTGCACTTCGTTAACGTTGCAAGTTTTCATCAGAAAAAAACACGCATTTCCACGTGCTGTTGCAAAAAAGTGAAAGAGCAAAGAGTTTTAGTGCAAAAATTGTGCCACTCTTCTTTTTGTTGTTGTTACAATTTAAGCATGTTGTTGTTGTTGTTGCTGCTGCTGCTGACGGCGAAAAACGCTTTGCACTTAAAGTTCGTTGAGTTGGCTTGGCCTGGCCCTGGTGAAGCGGAAGGTAAGGCGGCAAAGAGGCAGGGCAGGGGAAGACTAGGTGGCTTGAAGTGGGACCAAAAAACATGAAGAAAGGGTTAACCGGTGCAGACACTAAAGGGTTAAGAGGCTGTGCTCTCATCTTGGCTACTTCAAAGCTAATTTTTGCAATCAAATTTGCATTCTTTTAGAGATTATTTTTGATTTCTTAAGTTAAAAAGAACTAAAAGATATTTAAACTCCTTTTTTTTGGCTTGATAAAACTTTAAAAAACTCGCAATTCTTAATATTTAATATAAAACAAGCCCCAATCTGGCCATTTAATCGACAACACTGCAAGAAATGGGGGCAACACCGCTGCTGTAGTGACAACAACAATCACTTTAACTTAACTTTGACACAAAGCTGGCTAAAACGCTGCCGCCCAAAAGTGGGGAGAGGGAAAGTTTCTCAGCTCTAGCCACTTCCTCTAGGATACTGAGAGGCTGCCTAGTGGGTGGTGACGAAACAATAGGGGTGAAGAAGAAGAAGAAGCAGAAGCAGGAGAAGCCGAAGCAGAAGCAGAAGCAGTCACACGACAAGCAAGGAATCTAATTAACAATTTTCCATTGAGTGCGCAAATTACGAGGAACAGGAACGGAAAGCGAGGGATCCCGGCAGTCCGTTCGAAAGAGACAGCAAAAGGTTAGCAGAAAGAGATGGTAATAGGGATAAGAGAGCGAGACAGGGACAAGGACAAGAAGGCAGGCAGGCAGACAGAAGCAATTAGACGGGGACGAATGCTGGGCAATGTCAAAGCGAATTTTCGGCATAAATTCCAGACAAAAGGCACGATTGAGGCACACTTTTTGCCAAGTTTTCACATAAAAATAGTGAAAGAAATTAAGAAAAAAAACATATAAAATATTAAGCTTATTAATATTTACCGAAAAACTAAAGATTTTAGTCTAGTTTCCTTATCAAAGAACATTTCTCTGGTAACCTAACAGGTTTTCCTGATATTCCGTGACCTTTTCCCTTCTAATTTTCCTCTTTTCGTTACCAGAAGATATCTCCATCGATTCTGTGGCCAATTCCCCGAGCTAGCCTTAACCCATTACCAACCCCGTGTACATGTGTTAACCCATCTTTGGGCACTTTAACACCCACCCCGACATGTCCACGCATTCAGTCAACTGGTGCGCTGTGAATTGCGATTGGATTTGCTTCACACATGTGTTCTGTTAGCTGTTTGCTGTTTTTTTTTTTTTTTGCTGTGTTTGTCTTGCGTGTTTCAATTAAGCCGTACATCTTTATGGGAAGGGGGAGGGAAAGGAGAAAGAGAAGGGGTTAGCCTGCCTCCTTTCGACATGGCCAGCAAATAAAACTTAGACACGCTCGGAAGAAAGGATTCTGGGGGTAACACAATGCCACGAATGGGGGAAAAATGCCAATTAAAATCTTAGCCATGACAAGTGCAATACGATGGTGCAACAGCCCCCAGTTTTTCAACCAAACCCCCCAACCCCTCCCCCTTCCTTTCTTCTTCTTCATCTTGTGCTTCTTCTTCATCCATTTTCAAGGCAAATTGCCCTACTTGTCAGTCTCTCGGCTTCTTCGCTTTTTCCTGGCCTTTGTGTAATCTTGTCTTGCAATCTGCTCGCAGCAAATGGCTTAGCAAGTGGCTGCCTGCCCCCCCCTCGGATTTTCCCGACACTTTTCCCGCTCTGGAAGAATGCAGGCGTCGAGTGGAAGACTTAAGCAGGGCACTTCGCCCATAAAAACAGAATGGAAAGAATGCGCGGCCAAGTGGCCAAGTTCGTGTTGCCTGGCCCAGTCAGAGATTAGAGTTTTAGAAGGGCCCACTACACGGCAGCGGCAACATCATCAGGAGCGCAACATGAACAGCGGCAACAGTAGAAGCAGCAACAGCAACAGCAGAAGCAGCAACAGCAACAGCAGCAACTTCAACTTCAACTGCAGCAGCAACAACAGTGACAAAAGGGCAATTAAGTAGGCCCAAGATCTAGGCAAAAAGAGTTAAGAGCCTCTAAGATGAGCGACGGGGTTAAGGCAATCAGATTTGCTTGTAAATTGAAAAGAATTAAAGTTAATAAGAAAAGATAAACTTTAAAGTTTAAACTTTGAATATTGAAATCTAGTTAGCATGCTTATGATTAGAGTCAAAGGATCTTTGCTGATTTCTATTTTAAAGTTAAAGGAAAGTTAGAAAAAGCGAGCTATTAGTTAGTAATCAGACTTTAAGATATTTTTCCTTTCTTTTTTACAAACATATTTGATCACTCTTAGTTAATATCTAACCTGTTTAATATCTAACCAACAGCTAATATATATTTTATAACTCAAAAAGTCAAAATTAGTTGGCAATCTCTGAGCAGATTCTGTTTTAGGTTCTCAATCAATTTGCGGTGATGAGCGGACTTTCTGGCTTGTTCCAATTTATTGTTGCAGAGCCAGCATCAGCCCCCCTGCCTACCCCCTCCCTTTTAACCCATCCTTTGAACCAGTTTCCAGATCCCTTCTTATTAGACAAGTTTATGTGTGCGCCTCGCATTTCGCCTTTGCCTTTGTTTTGGAATTGCCCCCCCTTCCAGCAAACATATGTGTGCGAAAAGGGTTAAGGCAGAAAGGGACAGTACAAGCGAAAGAGATGGGCATAGCACACATACACACACACACACACACACAGGACAGGACAGGACGTGTGAGGAGAGAGATGTATGTGCGTGCAAATTGCGTATAAAAGCGTATGTTGAAAATATTTATTGCCCGTTACGAATGCAACAAAATGAAAATGGAAATTTCATTATTTGACTTTTGTCTCTCGCATGTGTGTGCGTGTGCGTGTGCGTGTGCGACTGTGTGTGTGGTGTGTATTTTCTTTTTGCTTATGTGTTTTCCTTTTTTTTTTTCGTTAGCTAAATTGTTTATTTTATTAGCAATTTGGAGAATTTATGTGCGCGACATGTGAAATTTACGCTTCACCCTTTACCCCTGCGCCACGCCCACCCCCCCAACTCGGCACTGGTCCTGAAGGAGTCAGCATCCATGAGTCAAATTGGAGCGCAGGAATGCCCATTAATTAGGGGAAAAACGCGAGGCGAACGCCCTCTGTCGGCCAAAGGATGCTCAGCTTTTTTTTTCGGCCTTCGCTTAAAGGACTACCAAAGGGATGGCCGTGGAAGGACTTCGGTGTAGGCATGGCCTACCTTTAGGCTTCCGCTATATATGGTATATACATATGGTTGATAGTCCCCCTCTGGGTAGTGGATAAACTTACCTGGCAAACATGTTCCAGCTCCTGCGGCAAAGCTTTTCAGCTGCGGAAATCCTGAAAGTAAGAAGAAAGGATAAGGTTTAGGGTAAGCTTGGGTCAGCACTAATAATATTTCTGTATTTCAGGGATCAATTTTCATATTATTAGTATATAGTTTATCTAACACTTTGCTTTTCTTTCAGTGCCAGCATAAACTGCATCCCAAGTGAGATTTTTCCCATAAATTAGCCGAAGGAGGGCCTTCGGATTAACACTCCAACATGACAAAGATACACAGAGAATAATCTTAAAGTAAATCACTAAACACTAAAGTTATTAACAGATTTAACAGAGGAGAGTTCAAACTTCCAACTTTTCTCACTGTAACCAAAGGCAGCGCTGAGAAGTGCAAATCGGCGGCGACCTCGATATCGAAATCGGGACAAGCTCTCTCCTTGCTGCAGTCAGACTTAACCCCCTGGCCAACCCGCCTCGTTAACCCCTCTGTGCACCCCCCCGGCCACCCTCAGCCATGGCAAGCGAGTGACATATCAAAGCAAAATCAAATTTGACAGACAACCGCGCTAATTTCTGGTCGATGTTTCATTGTTTCAAGGCGTTCGTCTCGTTCGTCTCGTTCGCTCTGGCTTTGTTTTTGGGGTTGGGTTTGGACTTGGGTTTGGCTACGGATGGTTTCTGGCTGCGAGGACTGTCAATTGTGTGACGCATTTCGTGGAAACAATGAGGTCTCGACATATGCCAACAATAATAACGATGACGATTACGTCGACAATCAAACCGCATTTATTAGCTCTTTGCGAGGAATTCCAGTTGCTGTTGAAATTCGATATTGCACTACATGAACTTCTCTAAGGAATTCTTAGCAAAAAAACTGAAAAAAAAAAAATCAAGAAGAGGGAAACTGCAAGTGACGATGTATTTATAAACTGATTAACGCTCGACAATGGCTGATATGGGTCGCCCTTGGCGGAAGGGGACTTTCAGCGAACTTGGGATTACTATATCTGTATATATAGGGAAAATATGGGAAAATACCAGGGATCTGGGGCGGACCGCACAAGGCGATCGTGGAGCGTGTGGTTCGTGAGCATCATCAGCGGCAATCCATCCAACCGCCGGAGGTCAGGCAAAGTAGCCGCTTCGGTGTCCAACTTGAAGTGTCTGTGTGTAGCTCTGTGTCTGTTTTTGTGTGCCACATACAGTCGTAACCCGAACGTCGTGAGTGAAAATCAAGTGAATTAATTAACTGACAAGAAAACGAGCACTTCAAATTGATTTTATGACCAATGCAATAACTAAATACTCAAAAACTGATCATTTTAGGGACAAAAAGAAAGCTTCCCTGGCTAAAAGATTAGTTAATGACTTGAAATAACCCAAAACTAATGTTTAGGGTCACCAAAAGTGCTGTTAACCGATCGAAAAGCAAGTGAATAACCGACAAGCAACTATCATTTAACCGGCAGCCATGGGTCCATGACCAGGTGAATCACATCGTGTCCACAATTGAAACAATTTCCAGACGAAAAAGTGCTGAGTAGCCACTCCAAATAGCCAGATAGATGGCCATGTCATGAATAATTAGCAGTCGTAGTTGTTGATTGTTGGTGTTGAAGTTGCCATTGGTGTTGGTGTTGCTGCTGCTGCTGCTGCTGCTGCTTTTGGACAGTGAAAGCAACCAAATTCCAATTCCAAATTCAATTCCAAATTCAAATCCAAATCCGTACCGGAATCCCACTTTCGAGCCGCTGAAGAAGCAAAGCGGCCGCCGAGGAAACTCAAGTGCCAAATCGTGTTTATTTGCGTTATAAAATTAGCGCAATGCAAAGGCGTTCTCGAAAGCGAGAGGGGGGGGTGGGGGACGGTTTATGGCCCACAAATCCCCAACCAAACGGCGCCTCTGCTACTCGCCGCTGCAGTCACAAAGTGAGTTGAGCTTTCGGGGCACGAATTGCCCGGCTCTGATTGCCATGTGACGGGGCACAAAATCAAGCTTATGAATACATTCATATGAATGCTGGTCTCATAGAGGATCTGTAAAAATAGCTATATACTGCTGGAATATATATAGTTTCTGATCTATAAACGAACTTTATATATATTCCCCATACATAGTCACTGCCTTTTATTATTGTTTTTTTATGGCAATTTGTGATTATCGGGAATGAGTTGCCTTGCGTTCCGTTTGAGGAAATTTCAAATTATTGCGGCTAATTCCGGTTAATGGGCATTGCTGTGAATCAGCCTGCACCCCATACCCCTGCATTTGCAGTCTCAACCCACACCCGCACTCACACTGGCACGGACAAATTAACCCTTGAGTGGCACTCGGCACTTCGCTCGTCAAGTTGCTTTAATTGACTTTTAAATTCGCAAAAAATCAAAGCGAAAAAGTGTGACAAAGTGCCAAAAAACAAGAATGTGAACGACAAAAACAAAAAAATGAGAGAGGGGTGCAGCTGTAAAGTGCAGCAACACCAACTGAAACAATAACTGCACTCGTGGAACGCTGACGCTGAACATTTTCACACCTCAGACAATACAGAAATTGCGGGGTTAAGGGGTTAAAAAAGAACACCAGGGAGGTGTGGGGTGTGAGGTGGGGCACACTCGACTAGTCAGCCGCTCACTCAACGAAACGAAGGGCGTTTGTCGACACTTTTTCCCAACTTCTCTCACACTTTTCACCCTTTCCTCTCCCTTTTTTTTGTGTTTTTTTTTCTAATTTACGTCAACGCAAAATCAAAGCAAAGTCAAAAGACGACCGCCCACAATGTCCGAGGCGAAACTACAATTAAGAATATTTTTATCAGCCAAGGAGAGACTAGCATATATCTATATAGATATATATATAAATACAGGGGCAGGCTATTAGCAAAGTGGCTCAAATATCAAAGGGCGGTAAATGCAGTTAAACGGATATTTGTAGGGAGATGGGTAAAGTTTTTGGGCGACTGACAGCCAGCAATTAGCAGGGACTCCAGATTGCAACACTTTCTTATGTCATTACAAGTAGATAATGCAGATATATATAGTATATATCCTAGTATATCTTAATAACTGACTCAAGTCCTCTTATTATTAGCTAGACTAACCAAGTCCTAGTATCTCTAGCAACAAAGTGATTTGAAAAGCAATCTAGTATTTGCTTAGAAGAAGACTTTTTTGCCAGAATCTTTGTTGGCCAAACCAATTTTACTTACTTATTATCCGTATACATTTTGTTGGCATTCCAAGGAGAAGAAGAGGCGGCTGGGTGGGCAAATCCAAAATGGTTAATTTCGAGCCGAAATATTTGCCACAACAAGTGCACCAATACACGTGCATTTAGGGTGTGCGTGTGTGCGTGAGTTCGTTTGTCAGTGTGCAAACACATCAAAACGACTGTCACAACAAAGCGACGCGCAAAGTGAAAATTGTCAATTAAATGTGCGGGGGAAAAGCGTTTTCACTTGTTTTTCTTGTTCTTTTTTTTCACCCCACCTTCGTTTGTCTGCTTGAAGCTTTTCCTTTCCGCATTGTTGTTGGGCAACCAATTTTCCGATTTGGTTTTCCTTTCTGGTGAAAGATCAAAGGCACTTAATGGCAATGGAAGAAGGCGCCAAATACCGAAACGCTCTGGACAGGAAATCCGTCCGAAATCCGACCGAACTTGATGCGATTTTTTAATTGAGGAACCGCCGCGCGACTGGCGGGTGTGTACAGTCAACAAGAGAAAACCCCGAAAAAATCTGCACGACATGAAGAGCTGAACGAGTCGCCACTAATAATATGCAAAATTAAATAGGATGACGCGAATGAAAGGCAGAAACAGGAACAGTTACAGTTACAGTAACAGTAACAGCAGCACAGCCAAGAACTAAGAACGAGAGGAGAAGAAGTGGGTAAACTCGACTAGGACATACCCTGTAATATATAAAGTTAAAGTAAAGGGTATTAAAATGAAAGGCCAAATGACTAACTCTACAAGTTCCTTAATTATTATGATTAATAATTAAACTTAATTTAATGTAACCTTCTGATCAAGAAACCCATTATACCCTCTCTGACTTAATACCCAGCTCGCTCTCTTTCCCACATATATTACACACAAATTACGACGAAACTGTGGAAATAGGCGATAAACGAAGAAATATTATAATTAAAGTAAAGCCGAAACAAGAAGTGGCAGAAGCAGGAGGAGAAGGAGGAGGAGAAGGAGGCGGAGAAGGAGGAGGAGAAGGAGGAGGAGAAGGAGGAGGAGAAGGAGGAGGAGAAGGAGGAGGAGAAGGAGGAGGAGCAAGAGCTAAGTACGAAGAAGAACATGCTTAAAAGAAATCAAATAAAATCCACAAAAAGGGCCCGGAAGTGGAGGGGTAAACAAATTGAGAAAAAATCACAAAAAATCAAATTCGATGCCAGCAAGCGAGCGAGCGAGCGAGAGATGAAATTGGCACAGTGAATTAGTGCAGAGCAGAGCAGAGCAGAGAGAGAGCAATGGAAATCGGAGATGACGACGATGATATTCCAACGCTAATTAAAATAATAATAACAATAATAACAGCTGCCACTTGAATCTGCAAGATTATCGCAGTGAGAGAAAACTTAAATTAGTTGCGGGCTAGATTTTAAATTAAAAAAAACTAACTCAGTTTCCTTTCCTTTATCTTTTTAGTATTCTTTCAAATATCTAATATTCTACTTTTCCTTCTGTTTAACTATAGAACTACTTCAATTTCTTCGAGTGTAGCACTCCCCCTACATGTTTTTTCTTGCCTTTCTGTTTATTCGCGTTCGTTGCGATCGGGCGACTTGGGATGATATCGCCACTTGCAAATGAGCTTTAAGTCGAGAGACAGCAGGTCGACTCGAGTTCGCTGCCAGTGTGTGGGTTGTTGTTTTTTTTTTTCAGTGTGCATGTATGTGTGTGTGTGTGTGCGTGTCATTGCCTGTGGTGATCAGCAAACAAAGGCGCACTTACAGTGGCCTAATGTCGCCTTCTTAAGGCTTTTTTTTTATGAAAATTGAAGATGAAATATGGTTTGATTCTTGAAAAGGAACTAAGAAAATTATAT